AGAAAGAAAGAAAGAAAGAAAGAAAGAAAGAAAGAAAGAAAGAAAGAAAGAAAGAAAGAAAGAAAGAAAAGGGAAAAGCTGGGGCTGTAGCTTAGCACTCGTGCCTGCCTAGCACACAGTGAGACCTGTGTTTGGTTCCCAGCGCCGTAACGATGATGAGCAGAACAGAAGCGTGAAGCTGCCTGTGTTAAATTCCAGCACCTGGGAGGCAGAGACAAACCAATCAGAAAATTGAGGCCTTCTTCAGCTACAAAGCCAGATCAGTGCCAGCCTAGGCTACATGAGACTCTGCCTCAAAAAGAAACAATAAATTAGAAAGTCCTACCCTTCTGTCCCTAATGGCATTACTCTTTCTCTCCCCCAAATGACGTCTATCCTGAATTTATTACCAGTTTTATTCATGTTTTATATTTTTATCCCACATTTTTTTTTTGTCCACAAATAATACGTGGCATTATTTGAAGCAGTGTCTCACTATGTAGCCTAGGCTAGCCTCAAATTCACTTTTGTAGCCAAGATTGGCTTTAAACATCCGATTCACCTCCCAAGTGCTGGAATTACAAATGTGTCATCTGGTTTAAGATTTCTGGTTATAAGCCATATGTGGTGGCACACGCCTTTAATCCCAGCACTCTGGAGGCAAAGGCAGGTAGATATCTGTGAGTTCGAGGCCAGCCTGGTCTACAAAGCGAGTCCAGCCAGGGCTATTACACAGAGAAACTGTCTTCAAAAACCAAAAAAAAGAATAAAATAAAAAGATTTCTGGTTTTATGCTTACGATAGTTAATCTCAACTGTCATTTCCATGAGATCTAAAATTACCTAGGACGAGAGCCTCTGGTGTTCCTGTAGGAAATTACCTTATTAGGTAATTGAGGTGGCATTCATTGTTTCCTGAGCTGGCCTCCTAAACAAACAGCACAGAACTGATTGCCAGCTTCTCTCTCCCGACTCCTCCTTTGCTCTTTTCTCTTTTACAGTTATTTACTTAGTGTGGGAGCTGTGCACGCTGCTCTGAGGAGATTAGAGGACAACGCCTGGGAGTTGGTTCTCTCCCTCCAACAATGGGTCCCTAGGGTTGAACTCAGGTCTTCAGACCTGCCAGGAAGCACCTTTACCCACCCAGGCATCCTCACCAGGGCTGTTTTCTGCTTCAAAAAAGTGTTGGCAGCTGGGCATGGTGGTGCCCAGCTTTAACCCCAGCACTCAGGAGGCAGAGGCAGGCCGATCTCTGTGAGTTCAAGGCCAGCCTGGTCTACAGAGCCAGTCCAGGATGGCCAAGGCTACACAGAGAAACCCTGTCTCGAAAAACTAAAAGAAAAAATTTTGGATATTTTATTATTTTCGTTTTATCTGTAGAAGTGCCTGGCTCTATGTCTGTGCACCACATGCATACAGAGCCCACAGAGACCAGAAAAGGGCTTCAGATCACCTGCTACTGGAATTAAAGATGGTTCAGTTGCTGGGAACTGAACTCAGATCTTCTGTAAGAACAAGCCAGTGCTCTTAACCACTGAGCCATCTCTCCAGCCCTAGTTTCTGCTTCTTAACTGGATGTAAAATCATCAGCTCTCTCAAGCTTCTGCTGTTGTGACTTGCTAGTTGTGATTTGTGAGCCAAAATAAACCTTCTCTCCCTTGGCGAGTATTTTATAAGAGCAACAGGACAGTAACTATGACCATTCCAAAATCAGAAAATAATCCTGGAGCATTTCAAGATTCAACTATTTCCAGAAAGGATAGTAAATGTATACCGTGACTATGAATCCTATACTGATGTGTCCATGAGGGTGGCCAGCTCCGCAGGGACAGACTTTCTGCCAGTGACACCAGCAGGCTCTATTTTCTGTTGTTAAACTTTGCTTCCTTTATTTGTTTATTTATTTATCTATCTATTTATCTATTTATCTATTTATTTATTTATTTATTTATTTATTTATTTATTTATTTATTTAT